TTGCCACTATTAGATTTGATCTCGGCACAAGTACCTATAGAATTCTCTGGCATACTACTAGGAGGCTTAGTTTTCAACCAAAAGTTACACGAAGCTGCTAATTCCTTAAGCAACTTTTTGCTATCCACTTGTCGTCCGAACTACCCATTATTCAATAAAACTACAACAACAGATGGGTACGTTGGAGAATTTTACCCAAGAGGTATGTACGAATACTATATACACCTATTACACTATTACCCCGGCTGGATCGACGTTCACTTGACCCAACTTGGTTTCCATTACAACGCGAACACGGGCCTCATTACCTTTGATTCAAACCGAAGTGGCTAACAAAACCGTTTGATTCAGTTTAGATTGTAATATTTAAAAATAACAGATAGGTGTTTTCTTTGTACAAATAATAACCAGTTTATAATAATTTAAATAAAATATATGTACTTGGTTTCTATTACAACGTGCAATTTAATCCTAGCCAAAGTGGCTAATAAACAGCTGTTAATTCAGTCAATATTGTAATATTTAGTAATTGCACAGGTGTTTTTTTCTTTATTGAAATAGTTTATAATTTAAATCAAACGTATTAATTTATACCGTGTTAACAGTTAAGATGTATTAGAAAAAAATCATTTTTGGACTTACAATTTCAACGATTTAATCAAATATGTAATAAAAATCATAAGTGCGTTATTAATTTGTTTCACATGGTGTCACAAAGGTTGCTGATTATCAATAATTATTTAATATTAATTGTTTAAATAATATTAAATATGTTGGCTCCAGGAAATACAGCCATTTCCCAGTTGTTAGCTTCTATTGTCAGGACAAATGCTCTTCACCAGTGTTGGGTAAATTGTAATCTGATTAATGATTACGATTAATAATTGTAATCGGCAATCACAGTGTTAGATTAATGTAACCATTAATAAGAAAAGTAATCATATAGGTATGATACCAAACAAATCATCATTCTAATCCTCTCAACTCTGAACTTTCATCATTGACTATTCCTGGCAATTCCCGAAAAAAAAGATTAAAAAAGCGATGGTGTCGTGACCTACAGTTTCTCCACTGGGTGCCTCTCCAATCTGTCCTTTGACACTTCTTGCATAAGCAATGCTTAATGTTTTGTTTTATCGTAACAGATTGCATAAATAAAAAATAAAAAATTAACGTAAGTATTATATTTTTTTCGATTTAACAAATAAAACATAGACGATTTAGATTATAGATAATGTACTAAAAGTTTTTTTTTTTTTGATAAATCATACAATGACAATATTACTAAATATTTCAGTGAAATTAATAATATATAACGGATGAACACTTTTTTTTTTATAATTGGAAGTATTGTGAATTTTACCGTTGTATCAATATTAACGCTTATATACGTTATGTACTGAATAGTAGACCGTGTCCTCATGAAATAGGTCCTCTCTATAGTCGGATATCTATCCAAAACAAGTATCTCCTCTGCCCCGTCCGCAAAATAATGAAGTATTTCCAAGTTCGGTCTTAGTTAGACGCTTATGGTCGATGTGGAACTAAGAGGTCTATAGCATACCCACTTTTGATCGCCATTTGGTAATAAATCTAGTTTTCTATGCAATGCCAAAAAGGCATGGATGTTATTTTCTTTTTGTATAATATCTAATGCTCAGCGATAGGTCCCGTTGAAATATTAAATGTCCATCAACATACTCGAAGTGATAATTTTTTAGCCAATATTTACTGTTAGTTTCAAGAGGTTTACACTGATTAGAAATATTGTCTTTAATTTTTAAAATAGCTCGAAGGGAATCGTATAGACAACTGCACGATGTTTCTTCCGGCCGGATGCACGTTTTACAGTTGTGCATCGAACGTTGTTTTATCTCGCTAAGGTTTAATAATAGTTGTTAAAATCTTTTACCCCATCGATTCTAATATGCTTCGTCCCCACTATAACCCGACCACCTGTTCTGTTTTTTATTGTTATTGTTATATAATTTATGACGGCCAAAATCACATAATATTACTAACACAAGTCTTTTACAAAAATTTCATTTTGTACACCATTCAACAAATCATAATACTATGAATTAGTGGTTTGTAACTAAAATAAAAAAACCAGCTCAATCCAAACGAAGTACAGTGTAAGCCAGCACAGTCTCAATCATAGAATTAGCTAGCACAATAGGAAATTACTAAAGTGGGCTCTAGTTTTTTTAAATTTTAATATTCATACAAGAAACCATTATTTATTACCCATCAAAGTCCACGATTAAAGTTTTTAAGTTGCTTGTTTTTTTTTTCATAAGAAAATCAAATTTTGTCGACGTTATTATTTTATGTTACAGATAAAGTCACATTTTTACAAAAAAAGACTTTCAACCCTAACCTCTCCCCACCTCCTGCGGGTAAACATTTTGGTTCGAGGCTATTTCTAGATACACAGGAAGCACGCATGCTCAACGCCGTTTAAACAAATTACACAGTATTGAAAAAAAATGTCAAGTATATTCTTGACAAACAAAACGTGCGTTATCTCCACTTGTCGTCCAAACTACCCGGTGTTCAACAAAACTGCAACAACAGATGCATATGTTATAGACGTTTACCCAGCAGGTAATGTACGCTTACTATACACACCTTTTAAATCATTACCCCAGCTGGATCAACCTGCACTTGGACCAACTGGGCTTCCATTACAACTTGCACACGGACCATATTGTTTTCGATCCTGAACAAAGCGGCTGACAAATGACAAATTCAGTCGTACATATACATATCTAGTTTTTGTCAACTGGAGTACGGTATTCAGGTTATAGAAGTATTAAATAGTTTATTAGTTAAATAAATTTTATTCATTTACGTGTGTGAAATGATATCAATAATACAATAAACTATGTAGTACAAATTAAAATTGCGTTTTTTATGTGTTAATAAAAAAGTTCAGTACTATCAATTGTGATCATTTCCTTTGGTCCTTCTTCAAATTGTAGTGCTTAACAGTAATACTTGATTGTCTTTTGAAAAATTGATTTAAACCCAAGTCTTTTTTATCATTTATTTTGACTGTAGTTTAATTTTTATCTAATACAAATACAGTGACCCCAACCGATATAAACGAAATCGGTTTTATTAAAACTATTCAATTATGATATAAAAAACACTGAACAGGCAAACCATGTTGTGTTAATTATATGATGGCTTAGATTTTCTGAGGAAAATCATTATTGCAAAAAATAAAATTCTATATAATATTGTTTATTTTTTTTTAACTTTTTAGTTTTGATAATGTTTTTTTTTTAAAACTTTTTTTTGGCCGTCAACTTTGTTCATAAAAATGTCGAATAGTTCTAAATTATTGTGTATGGATAATTTTTAAATTTTTGTATGGATATTCAAAAGTTTGAAAGGTTGAAATTCGATGCAAATATGTATTAATGCGTGTCTAACATGTAAATACAATAATAATTAATACTAATATAAAAAAACTAGTTTTACTTTTGAAACTAGAAATATTATAATTTCACACAGGTCGTTAGAGACATCCAGTGTACTATTTTTATTTTATTTTTTTTGTGTACCGGTTTTTTTGTGTAAACACATCTCCTCTGGAATTAAATAGATCAAATGTGAAAACTCATGATCGTGTATATTATATTATTACCATGCGGTCGAGCAACTCGGACAACATTTCTCTACATCATACCTTATCTAGTTTTGTTGTGTTTGTTACCGGGGCTTCTTTGAAATCATATTATAAAAAGAAGAATTAACATTTTTAGAATTGTTTTGTTTAAAAATTAATAAACATCTAGCTTTTGATTTTTTATTTAATTCAAATTTGAAAAAAAAAACTAAAACAGTATTTACATTATTATGTAAGATAATGAAATATTTTGTAAAATATAGTTTAATCATATATTATAATTGAAAAATAATAATATTTTATTTAAATTGCCACAATAACGCAAAATATTTTTAAAATGCGTTTACAATCATACTTGATTGTACTTGCTTAGGCACATACTAAAACGCTCGCCGGAAAAACATCAAATCATTGATATATTTTTGGGCGTCACATATTCCATCACGTGACGTGACGTGACGCTAATTATTAAGGAATGACGCCGAGCTCAAAAACATATGCATTTTAATTGGAACGGTACCATCATTATTGACAAGATATTAAAAATTAATGACGCAAATATTTCATTATATTCTTAAATCTCGGGTTAAAAATAATACGATAACTTAATGTTATATAATTAGAATACTATACAGGGTGATTATTTTAAATTGATCCACATTAAAATTTAAATGGTAACTAATTATTATCTTTTTTAACTAAGAATAGTTTACTGAACATTTTGACAGGTCGATAACCAGTTTTGGATGAATATTTTTTCAAAAGCTTAATGTTTCAGAAGGGACAAAGGATAGTAGGTAGTACTATTTATCTATTTGTATTACTCAAGCCGAGAGCAAGTTTCGAAAATAGTAAGTTTTTTATACTAAAATTTATGCGCACATTCGAGTTGATCGATGGCCAAGTGGCCACAGACAAAAACTATCTTACACAGCCATATTATTTGGCACATGAGTTATGTTAAAAATATCCTAGACTGTTTTTTTAAATTTTTTTTTATTTATAAGAAAAATATACAATCTGTACACTACAATATTCGTACAATAGGTATATGGCATGGTTAATATATACAATTAGTAGTGTATCACTTGTTCGAAGAAACCTTCCAATGATGGAACTCCAATGGCTGGAAGAATGAAGTTTAGGTTAACAGGTTTCTACACCATTCCTAGACTGTTAATTTCTAATTTATTATTTAATGTTTGTTTTCCTATAGTAAGATATAACAATTATACAACGACAGTATTGATTATAATAGTTTATTAATGAATAACATAATTCTATTGATATCGAAACATTTGGTAGATAAAACAATGACTTTAACTAAAATACAAGCAACGTCAATAATAATATGCAATTCAATTTACTCCTCGGCTGAGGGGCCTGATTTTACTACTTTTGGGCTTACACTATACCAACCAACGAGTGATTCTGGCCGATTCGGTGATGCTTGGAATAATGTTTGATAATATCCAAATTTGTCGTCATAAAGGACATCTCGATATGTCTCCTTCGTTTGTGGCAAATCGTCAAATGAAATAGGTACCGTAGTCCAATCTACCGAAGTTATAGTGCAACTACCATCATTCTCACATTGTGCTTTATTTCTCAACTTATATTTTAGTGTGCGTTTGATTAACCCGACCAATACACATTTCATGCTTTGGCCATTCACGCACATTTGTTCAGTTTCTGTAACAATTGAATAGAATAAAAACAAAATCGTCGAATATTATATGCATGTATGACAGAAAGCAATACAAAAAAGAATAATAGTTAATAATTGGGTGGCTAGACTTCAGAGTCAATACAGTTTTTAATTTAAAAAATAAAAATTGTTCTTTACTTATTTAAAAGTCAGTTTTTTAACACTTTTTGTTAGTGTTTACACATACTAATTACGGGTAGGTTAAGTTATATACCAAAGTTTGGTTTCATTGACGTAACTATGTTTCTGTTCTAAGCAGTTTAAAAATAGCGATAAATATTATAATAATGCTTACTCAATCTGACATTGAGAGTATGGCGGAATATTGCATTTAAATGATAGCTTCTAAGCTCTACCTCCGTGCCATAGGAACATTCGCCTATAATATCATACACAATAAGATAAAATATAATAATGTCTTAATTTATATTTTTAATATATAGGTTATACTATGTAAATTCAGCTTCAGCTTTTTCAATTGACCAAATGGTCTATAATCTATTTTGAATAATACATTTTACTATATTATATTACCCTTACTTTCTGGAGAAAACCATTCTTTGAAGTATTAATATATCTGTATATACCATACTTTATGGTTCATGTTGTACACAATATTTTAAAATTAATTTTTATAACATTTTTTATTCAAATTTGTAATATACCGTTATAAAACGTGAACCAACCAACTTTTATTAAAAACAATAATTAATGTAATGGAAAAAATTCAAAACCGCAGATCAAGGGGATTTGAGAAAATGTTAGTTTTGATAAATCTTGATATTATTTCCATTCCTAGTACATAGTATTGTAGTTTTCGAATAGTAATTATTATAAAATATAACATGTTATACTTACCACCTAAATGAACTGCTTGGTCCGGATCTGTAATTAAAATAACTTTTACAACTAAAAGTTTAAAAAATGCTTGTACTTTGTACATATCTTATTTAAGTTCATTGTTTTAGTTTTATATTATGTATAAATCCAATCAAGCATTTTTGACATATACAATAATAATTGAATTATAGCCATTTATAAAGTTGTTAGCAGTGTGGAATAGAAATAAGCATGCTATCTTGTGAATTGTAGCTATACCAAAAGAACAGGTACTTAAGGTCTAGGAAAGTCGATAAGTGTTATAAATAAAAACAAATTTTACTGGAATAATAACACACTTAATACACCTTAGAATGTGCGTACACATGGCCTAAAACCTTAAAATATTAAAAGTCTTGACTACCGTTTTCTATTAGACACAATCAATTAAGATAGTTACCTAAGATATATGTTAACATCTTTTGAATTCGTTTTTCATTTTCGTATATTGTACCATATATTGCATCTATAAATAAAATATTATATTGTATATAATACGATGAAATAACTTTCTATTCAAATGTGTTAGTACATGTAAAATTTCTTAGCCTACCGATTTTTTATTATACATATTATAATACATTTTACATTTGTTTTTATCACTTTAAACTAATTTTTCAGCTAAAATAATTAAAACTCATTTGAGCAATAATGATTTAATTAAAATAATAACTGGTCACCGATAACCAGTTTTCAATTAATATTTTTTTTTGTCAGTTTATAGCGTTAAATTTAATTCGATAAAGTTACAAGTCTTATGTAAATTATTTGATCGATAATAGCTCAACAAGTATTTAATTTTTTTTACAACAAAAAGAATCAATATCGATAAAAATATATTTTATTATTTAAACAATTACCGTCTGCATGAAAGTTTCTCAACAAATAATTACCTATAAAAGATATGACACTTAAATAGGTGCCACATTCTTAATTTATTTATGCGTTCGATAAGTCACTTTTATCAAAATATCAATTTAAAAATACATTTTTAATTATTGCAAATTTGCATTGATAAAAATTTACCAGTTTGCCATACTTATAGGAAAACCAGGAAATTAAGAAGAATAACAATTCACGGTATACATCTAGGATTAACTTTTAAAATTATTATGGTCATGTATCGTCCTCTGAATAGAATGGTTTGAGTTATAACTGAACAGTTATAATAAATTGGAAAAATGCGAATACACGTTAGTACTAGAGAAAATGCTCAAAAACATTTAATGTCCGATGCAAACTTGATTGATCATGGCTTACAAAAATAGTAATTAACTAAGTAATTAAAAATAAAAAAAGACGATACCACCCGATGGTTTAAAACGTATAATAGTTTACCTGGCGGGAAAATGTAGTCTACCATTCCCACTGAAATAAAAATTTATTTTGTAAAAAAAAATTTAGTGGACGTTTAATAAATCAATACAAATTTAATGGTTAGGTTAGGTTTGTAAAGACAATTGTTCTTAAAAAAAAAGTGTTAATTTACAAATAATAATACCAGATTCGTGTTCATTTACGAGAAACCTAACCAGTTGGTATTTTTGATCTGAAATCAAAGTACAACAACAAATTACAAATTATCAATGATTTCGTTAAATAAACTTCAGTAATGACCATTCAACGTTTAATTAAACGTTAAGGCCAGACAGGCCAAGCACAGATGGTCTAAAACTTTAAAAGAGTCTCAGAAGTTTGGGATATTTTAACAAAGTCACATTTCATCACCAAAACGACTATATAAATCATGAAAATATTGCCAATAGTTTAGCATTTGAGAGCCACAAATAAATAAATGGGCCCTTACAACATCGTTGATGTAATTTCCAATAAGGTAATTTTACCGTGCTAAAATCAACTGTGCCCTTTGTATTTTTAATATTATTATTAATGGGCTTAGTATATTATTATGCGGTAAAAAAATGTATATCAATTTGTTAATTTATCACCTACTAATAATATTTGTTTATTCAATTTTGACCCATATAATTTTTAAAAATACGAATCCTGTTTTTTTTTTACTTTATAAACTTTACAAACACTCACCTTCTTCAAGACGCACTATCAGACTGTCTAAAAACAAAACGGTTAAAAATAGAAGTATCGATAAAAGCATTGTACTTTATGACAATTATGTGCTTAAAAATTAGTTTTTAGTTTTAGGACTGATGCGATTAGGGTTGATCGTCTACATATATTAATGTCCTAACCTTAGAAACTGCCTTAATGACTTAAAACAAATTAATAATAATAACTTACTGGTATAATAAATCTCGGCACGACATTCTGGAATAACAAATTATAATATTATAATTTTTTAAAATATAACAAAATATATTATGCAAGTTGAATAATTAACAGACGATGAATTATTTACAGAATCTGACAGTTAAGTTACCTAAAAGTGTGATTTTATCACTTTCAAATAAACGTTTCTATGCAAATCTGTGGATAATAAGTTCAAACTAGTATAGTCTAAACTCTAAACCAAGCACATTAATCAGGTTCGGTTTTCGAAACGTTTCATTGTAAGTGATTTTATCACTTTACTAAATTATAGTGACATAAGTCACACATATTATGAATGTAATGATAAATTCTGTTGGAATGGCCGATTATTTAAGTAACATTGCATATTTTTTTTTAATTATTAATATATACAACGTAGAGTAAGTTAAAAGACGGAGGTTAATTAATTGGGAGGATTGAAATAAACTTAGATTTGAGATTTTTATTGATCCCCAAATTTGGATGCCGTTATTATTATCTGGGTTTAGAAGAAGTTATGCAGTTGTCATCTGAAAAAGTGACTAAGTTAGTGATGTTTGAGTGAGGTATGTCAGCAGTAAAACGATTATAAAGGGTAGGGGCGCGACCAACAGTACATACTTAAAAGAGTTTTAGAGAATTTATCCGTACTCGCTTAAATGACTTTTCAACTGTCGATATTACCAAAACTAACAACGTAATTCAAGACACAATACAATCAATTATAAGTAACAATACAAATTGTAAAAATTAAAAATTGTACAAAAACTTAATAAGATCACTCCAAATAGGCGTCTTAAAAGTAATAGCATCCCTATCGAAGCTAAAAAAATGTAATAAAAATACTATTAAAATATTTAGGGCATACCTTTTCGGGTTATGCGTTTTGCATCGTTCAAATCAATGCAAATAGTAACATAAGCAAATAGTAGCATAATCAAACATAACACTTGTAGCTCATGGATAGTCATTTTCAAACGATATCTAAAAAGAAAACGCTGAATGTCAACATCAACAGATACAAACATTTAGTGTAGTTAAATTTATTAAATGTATTAATTTCACAAAATCGTAGCAAATATACCTCCTGGAATTATATTCTAAGACCTTAACACGGACAATCATATGAAAAATAATAATATTATCATCCCGTTTGGGTCATACGCAATAAGCAGAAAATAGAAAAAAAGAAAGTAGTTTGTTTTTTTCCGGATATTGTTTCTTAAAAAAATGTTTGTCCGAAATTTGTTCCTATCCAATGATATTGTATATTTAAATGTCCAAATCTATAAGTAGGGCTTATGTTAAGTAAGAGTAAAGTGATTTGCCTTAGTTATTGCCGAAAACTGCAAAATGCTCTAATTATCATTAAATAACGTCATAAATTCCAGTTTTTAAATTCCATTTACAGTTAATTATACCAAATCATCAATTCAACACTCAGTCCATTTGAATCGTATCAGTTTTATAAAACGAATTTAGCAGTTCCACACAAACCGAAAATTAAAAGATTATATTTAATTATATATATAATTTAAGCCAAATATTTGCTTATTAACTTTTTCCTAATAGGATCATACATTTTGTGTACTGAGAGTACATGCAGGTCTTGTATTCACAAAAATCAAATTATAACTGAAAAATAAATTCAATGTAATTTAACAGGTCATATTTCCTATGAATTGTTTAAGGCCAGATATTATGAAATCACTAAAATATAAGCCAGAAACTTGATATGTTTACTAGCCACCTTAGATACTAGCTTGTAAATATACTATTTCATTATCTATAATTCCACCACTACTCTAAATTTATTTGGTACTTAAACGAGACATGAAAATGCTCATCGTGGTTGCAGACTCGGCTGAAAAACTTTAAACAGATTAACTACTCATATTACCTGTTATCTCTTCGTGTTGTCGGATTTGTGATACGATACTGAAGTGAAAAGTAAGTGTCGATACTGTGAGCTGTCTTTTAATGCAAAATGACGCCTATGCCTTGGTATGTACCTTCTGTACAAACATGGCGTAGCACTACCTACGCCATTTATTTAAAATAATATTTTTTAGCCGAGTAAATAGTTTATAAAACAGTTGCATTACATATTATCGAGATAGGTTCTGAATTGTTTTGGATACAGAAAAATAAAATAACAATACAAAAAAAAAATCGCAGTAATCACAAGGCTGTAGAAATTATCTGTATAAGGGTGGAGAAGATTAAGATTAACCGACCAGCTAAAACGATTGGTAGACGTTGTATAATAAATTGGTAACTTGACGCATTCATAGCAATAAGCAATCCAGTCTGACCTAACCTTAAGGGGCCTCTACACTAGTATTTATCAAACCGTTTTGTCAATAAAACATAGCGTTCAGCTAAAATTTGTGAACTCATATATTAACACAGCAAAGCGGTATTTATTTTAAAAATACATTTTGTTTACAATTTTTTCCTAACGCACAAAGACTATATTGTGTTAGTACAAAAACATATTATTATGTTTCTACTTGTAACACTAGGTGCGTTCCTTTTTTATTTTTTACCTCACTCGAAACAAACAGGTATTATAATATACTATTTGAATCGCCCTGTATAAAATCGTGGGTTAAGATTTCCATCTTATAATTTGGCTGTACACTAATTAAAACTATGAAAGGGGGGGAGTTATCGAAATACATCCCAAACTTAATCCTGAAAATAGAATGTATTATGTTACTCGATTTTTTCAAGCGGTTTTCATCATACAACAGACGTTTAACCAAAACTTATTAATTTAAACGTCGATATTTATAAAAAAAAAAAAAAACATAAGCCAACAACTTAAACAAAAAATGTGTTGGACAATAAAAGCATAAAGTAAACCACTAAAAACAAATTATACAAGAACTTTCCACTTCAATCTACCATTTAACTGGACTAAATATTTTGTAATATATTTATATCAACGTATCATAAGATTGTATGAATTCAATAGTGTATATGAACATAGTAATTATTAAATGTGACATGACTCATTAATATTGATCTATAATCTAATATTAATATTGATATTAATATTGGCCGCTGACCAGACAAGGTACGTACAAAATAACATATGATAACACATATTAGAGTAATAATAATGATTAAAGAAATTTAGAAGGTTTAAGACACATCCACTATCCCAATATCCTACCCCTCTTCTTTTTAATTTAATTTTTATTATTACAATTTGAATGCAACACGTTTGACGTTCAAACGATATATAGTGTTTGTATAGAGAAAATAAAATGTTCAATATGCTCTAAGCAAACGAACAGTGCTATGCAAAATACTGTTGTCAACATCATCGTGGCACGAATCAAAATACATAGACAGTCTTTAGTTTTTTTCGTATAGATAACGCTCAGGTTGATCGAGTAAACTTATTTATTAAGTCAATTCTAACATATTCAGAATGGCAACAAAATACTCAGTCGTGGAGCTTTTAATTACTTGTATTCTGCTGTGCTTGTTACACTTGGAAACGACGGTATGCGCAGACCCGACAGAAGATCAAAATGACCTGCTCAATCGCCTTCAACACGATGGACATTGGCAAGGGTTGTGGTTCAATGGCGTCGACCGTAATGACATAAATTTTAGTTTAGAGACAGCGGCTAAGTTGCAAGTTATCTCTCGCTATATGGGATGCCTTTATAGTGTGAAATTGAATTGGTTTCTTTCATTGACGCTTGAAACAGTTAATGAATGCATAGAAATGCAAAAACACCAAGAGGTGTACGCTGCCAATTGTAGAGACCAACTTCCAGAGAGTATCCGACATAGTAAGCCTGTCATATTAAAATTGATGCGCTCATTGGAGTATATTGACCTGGTAATCCACAACAATATTGCTGACAACCGATTTTACCAAGCTCTGGTGCCGTTTTTAGATTTTGTCTCGGCACGACTCCCTATACAATACTCTGGCATAGTAATAGGAGGCTTATTTTTCAACCAAAAGTTAACTGCAGCTGCTGATTCTTTAAACAATTTTTTGCTCTCTAAGTGTCCTCCTGACTACCCATTATTCAACAAAACTGAAATAGATAGTAAATATGTTCAACTACTTTACCCAGGAGGTATGTACGAATACTATATACACCTATTACACTATTACCCCGGCTGGATCGACGTTCACTTGACCCAACTTGGTTTCCATTACAACGCGAACACGGACCGCATTACCATTCATCCAAACCGAAGTGGCTAACAAAACAGTTTGAATCAGTTTAGATTGTAATATTTAATAATAACAGATAGGTGTTTTCTTTGTACAAATAATAACCAGTTTATAATAATTTAAATAAAATTTATTCAATCATGTTATTTTAATGTGTTAGTATTTATTATTAAAATAAAACATTTTATATTCAATGATTTCAATTATTTAATGAGTGTAATAAATATAAAAATTGCGTTATTTAAGTTGTTTTTTTTTCGTAAAAAGGCGTTGTTGCATTACTGTTTTATCTTCTAACTAATATAGTTAAAACTGAGTCTCCATCTACTACATAATATTGTAGTATAGTGTGTGTGTGTGTTTAACGGTTCGTAAACCAAAGTGCGTATACGACAATATGAAAGACTCCATTTTTTTAGTAAATTAGTTAGTTTGGTGGTAAGTTGTTAACTATTTCGACAACAACAACTAGATCAATTCAAAATTATTGTGTATGGTTATTTTATACATTTATCTATAGATATTTAATAAATATTTAATTTATATTGTAAAAAGAGCTCGTGTATAGCATTTGATTAAATCTATATTTTTTTAGGAAATGTCATACATTTTTTGTTTTTTATTTTTTTATTTCTTGCAATTAATAATATGTTGTTACTATAATAATGAAACGTACTAAAAATGTAATGCAATTTTTGATGAAATAATAAATTATTATTTTTATATTTTTTATATGAAAATATGCTTTTATTTTACTTGCGCTCGAGTCATTGACTACTTATAAACCAAAAACAATATTTATCGTTTAAAAAAAAAATAGCCCCAATTTATGACTGTCTACGCAGAATAGCTCTGGAGCTGCCAATCCGTAAGGACTCTTTGTGCTGTGCACAGTTTAAATATCTTGAATAATTTGCGGCTATTTTTTGAGTAGTCCAAGTAGGTTTTGGAAGTATACAGCCCTTCACTATAGAAAATGATAATGGCGTGCTACTTTTTTTTTTAAATAGTCAAATTAGTTCCAAAATATTATGTATGAAAAAAAAAGAAGACAATTGCACTTTAAACGTCGTATATTTCTAGGTTATTGTATGTGAGTGAATCAATAGTCAACGGATAGCTGACATTTATTTTTTTTAAATATTTTTAATTAAAATTTAAAACCCTAATGGTATTGACTTGAATACTGAAAATACAATTTTAAGCACTTTTTAGCTTCGATGAGGAGCTGAGAAGCTATATACAAAAAGTCTATTTGTTAGAAATTTGTATAAAATACTCTTTATATGAAGTACAATCGATATACGGCGATAATCGACAAAAAAAAATATCATAAACCAGAATGAGTGGTCTAGTTTTGGGACTTGAGGTTTGAGAATTAGATTGAAGGTAGATGTAGAATGTTGTCGTAACATTTACAATTTGTTCAAATGTTTGTTGTCATCACTGTTTTTTTGTAATAAGGAAAATCCCAAAACAATGGGAATATTACATTATCCCTTTTTATTATTCACTTAGTCTGATCATATCGATGGCCATAAATTCAAAATCCGTTAAAAGCTTAATTTTTAGACAACAACAAGTTTTTTTTTTTAAAGAAAATCTAGTGTATTACAATTTACACGCGTTCGCGCTTTGGGCTTCGAGAATGTATTGTTGAATAAAACAAATACAGACTATTGATGTACAGTAGGTACACGCATGACATTCACCATGTGTTGTAGGCAAATTCATTTTGTTTGTTTTGCGTGGGTTATTCGTTCAATCATATTGTAAATCACAAATCTCACCTGCAAAAATACTTTATTGGATTAAACCTTGAAAATTTTTACCCTTACCGCTTCAAAACCAAAATAAAAAATCGTTTTACTTAAGACAATTATTTCCATATATGTATGGAATATTCTTTAGGTGTATAAAATATCACTAACCACTATCCACATTTATAGAAAATAGCGTTTGAGTTTTTTCACAATAAAAAATATTGTTATTGACATTTTTGTTTTTATTTATGTACAGATTGAGGTTAAATCTACTTTCAGTGTAATTGCTCCACTTTTATACCCTAAAATTGCGCCTAAGAAATATGAAAAAAACAACCAACAAATTTTCAATCCCACCAGGAGGGGGGGGGGGTGTTTATTACCTTCAATTGGGCTTGAAATTATTTGTAGGTATAGATAATTTTTCCTGGTTTTGAGGAGGGAACAGTGGTTTTTTTCTACTTTTGGCTTAACCGAGTACCAATCACATGCGACAAGGGACTCCATCGATCCCTAGTAGTATGTTTTGGCGTCTTCAGGCACTTACATAAAGGCATCGCTGTAAAACCAATACCTTTCTCAGCTATCGCATCGAAGCAGAAATGACCGAGTTCAACCGAGAATCGCTCGTTTATTGAAACTAGTGTTGCTACAATGTTAATTTTCATAAAAGGCAAACGTTTTTAATGTTCTGTGCACTCCTTAAAGTCGTGGCGCGACCGACGCAGTTGCATTATGTTGCATAATGAGGTGTACAGCTGCAGCAGTCCTATCGATGGTAGCCGTATGACTATAAATTTAAGAGCCTTATCGCCAGAGCTATCATCAGACCAATTAGCATGTGGAGAGTGTGTTAATATTACCATATATTGAATGTAAATCGTGTGAAAAAAAAAATTATAACAAGAACTGTAAAATATAAACCGCACGATCGATTAAAACGGATTTAAACGGCTTCGCCATATTTTATGGTCTAATGTTGTGGTGAT